TGTTGGCCTCAGCTCTGTTTGGATAATGAGTGTTGGTAAACTCCTGAACCTCTCCCCATTCGACAAGAAAGTTTTTGTCAACTTTCACTCCTGATGATTTCTTGCTTTGTTTCAATTGAAATCACCTTTCTGTTTTTTTAGAAGCCATGATGCATTATAAATGACTTAACTTGCCAGATTATATGATACGAATAATTCTTTATTAATTAAGATCATTAAACACTTCTACGAGCTACTTTCGCTCCGTTTCTTTTTACAACCTCTTTTCGTCCCGCCACCTCGGCATCTACACAATTACATTTCGTTTATTTGAATAGTCAACGTATATTATATTACATTTAATGTTTATTTAAATTATCAACATATATTACATTACATTTCGTTTATTTGAATAGTCAACGTATATTATATTACATTTAATGTTTATTTAAATTATCAACATATATTACATTACATTTCGTTTATTTGAATAGTCAACGTATATTATATTACATTTAATGTTTATTTAAATTATCAACATATATTACATTACATTTCGTTTATTTGAATAGTCAACGTATATTATATTACATTTAATGTTTATTTAAATTATCAACATATATTACATTACATTTCGTTTATTTGAATAGTCAACGTATATTATATTACATTTAATGTTTATTTAAATTATCAACATATATTACATTACATTTCGTTTATTTGAATAGTCAACGTATATTATATTACATTTAATGTTTATTTAAATTATCAACATATATTACATTACATTTAATGTTTATTTAATTCATCAACATATATTACATTACATTTCTACTTCAGATATACTAATAATACATTCTAATAATACTAATATATCCTAAAAATAGCAGATTGCCATTGGCAACAGCAAAAGTGTGGAAACATCATTCGCACTTGTTCGAAAAAAGTCCATTGCTCGTCTCACGTAACTGCCAAACGAAAAGTCCGTTGTCCGCAGCAAGTCCGTTGCTCGAGTCACGTAATGGCCAAACAGAAAGTCCGTTATTCGCAGCATCCGTTATTCGAAGCGTACATTATACGAGGCACCACTGTATATGAATTAAATTATATGATGAGATAATGGGATTTGTACTAGTTTATTTATGTATTTTATATATTTTTATATTTCAGAATTATTAAGACCAAAATTTACTTCAGCAAGTCTTATTGTTCGTCGTCATGGATATCCACCATTTCCCTCAAAAGAAGTTTTACATAATTATCCTCCTAATATTAGTGAGTATTTATAAGAAAGAAATCTATTAAATTTGTTATATATTTGATAGTTAGTATTTTTTTTTTTTTACTGCTAACCTTTTAAAGTTACACAGAGAAAACATAATTATATAATTTTAATGGATTTTAAAGAACATTTTGTCTAAATTTTAATAAATAAATGTACTTACATTTAAACTATGTATCTAACAAATTGAAAATGAATTAGTAAAATGTTAAACTTATATTTTAAAATATTTATAATTTCCTATCATTATGAGAAAAATTATATTTACTCTTTATTAATATTAAATACATTCCAAATATTCTGGCAGTTTTAACATTTAAACATAAAAATTATGTTTTCTGCTTTATCATTTAATAAAATTGTTAAATATATTCAGGTCCTGTTGAGGTTAGTGGGGTAACAGGTTGAAGTTGTCAGACATGTTGGATGAGTTAAATTGTAATGAGTACAGTAATATGCTGTGAGAAATGATAACATTTTATTATCATAAATTTCATTATTATGAATAATAATAATAATTTTGTAATTATAAAGAAATTTGTATTCTATCAACATTTAATTTTTATGTGCATGCTGTTAGAATGTGCACATAAGAATGTATACTTATCTAGTAAAAATTATTTATGCAGCACTTTGACTATAAGAGAAAATAAATAATGAAAAAATTGCTATGAAAATTATAATTAAAAAGAAGTATTTAATGGAAAACATTTCAATATATATTATAATATTGAATTTAAATTTATATATTAAATTTGAAGGACTACTAAAAAAATATAATCTGATATTATCATCAAAAATATATGACCTTCTAGTAAAATCCTTTTAAAATTATTCATTAGCCTAAATTTTTTAATTGCATGTAAATAAATAATTAAATAAAAATTGTACAGAAATTTTACAAAAATTTAATAACTTTTTAAACACAATAAATTATAACATGAAACTACTTGCAAAGAAATCTGACTTCTAATGGTTAAAATTTAAAAACTGCTAATAAAGGGAATTTTTGAAATGCATAAATAAATAAATAGAAATAAATTAACTTTTAGGTCAAATTTGGGAAAAAAACATAACCAATTTCAGAATTTTTTTATTTAAAATTATTATAAATAAATTATGAAAAAGTATTAGTAATATAGGTTATAATAAAGTGAAACTAATTTGAGGTACATCATTTCTAATTATGAATGATTATGAACTATATAACACCTGTGATAGTGCTCATGAACTAAAATAACTGGATTCGTGAAAACCAGTTAAATTACATTTCATTCATATATATCAGTGCTAGATGTGTTTGGACAGGCTTGAAGGACATTTAAATGTTAAAAATAAATGAAGTTAGGATTTAAATGCTATTTAAACTGTCTGAAATAATTAATAAATTCAATTTTAATATTCAAATAATTTAGACATTTAGATGAATATTATAATCAAAAGAATGAAAAATAGAATTTTAGGGAATTTAAAATGTAGTAAAAACAGAATTAAGATAATGAGATTTAGAAAAGATAGATGTTTGTAATCTAAGCCCTTTCTCCTATTCATTTTTTAAAATAAATTTTATAAATGTATATTAATTAAATATAAATAAGATTTTGAACTAAAATGTTATAATACTAAGTGAATATACAATTATTTTAAATTCTATTAACAGCTCAAGTACTTGTGGCTAGAGAAATTAGTGGTCCATCCAGTCGAATGCATTCCTTTCCATATCGGCTTTATTCAAGGAAACAAATGTATCGTCGTCTTTTGGGTCATCTTTCATCTGTTTATTGTGTATTATTTGATCGTAGTGGAAAGTATATCATTACGGTAAGGTTTAAGAAGTTTTTGTAAATGTTTTAGGATTATTGTTTTTTGAATAATTAGAATAATGATGGGAGTAATAGAATGGGAAAGTCCAATTTTTATATGTCTCACAATGGAGAGTACAGTCGACCCTCCTATAACACGGTAGATACGCTCCGTTCTTTATGAATCGATTTCTTACGAGTCCTTCCAATCACAGCCCGACACGTGTGAAGTTTACGGACTACAGCTGTTTGAAAGGTTTTCTTCCATAAAATTAATCGATTCTAGACTAATTCGACTCAACATTTCCAAAATACATATATATTTTTTGGGAATAATCCATATAAACTATGCTATAAACAAAAAATTGTAGGATTACTTACCAAGTGTGCACCATTCGACATCGCCATTGCTCAAGCTTGTTTTCGTCGCGGAGCAACGCACCAAACCGCGGCCGCAATTTTTGATATGTTATTTTTCTGCGAAAACTTTGTTGAACTTTGGAGACATCATTAATATAAATAATTTTTATGGCCGTTGAATAAGAAATGTTTCTTTCACAAGAAATGTATAAAAGTACAGTACTGTATTAGACTTACGGTGCCTAATTTACATACTGTACAGACGATAGTAAACAACTTACTCGCCCAAACTCTCCGTAGCATGGCGATAGATGGCGGAAAGTATACAGGTAGCCCTCGGTTTACGCCGGTTCAATTTACGTCGATTCACAATAACGCCGCTGCGCAATTCACCCTTTCGAGGTGTAATTCCCCGATTTTCCCTATGCCAGACTGATTTTCATTTCAGTGTTGACATATTTACCGAGCTGCGACATTGTACATTTGTTAAAACAAAGATTTTTATTGAATATATTTATTTTTTCTGTTTAATATTATTGGGCATGTATACATTTGCATTAAATTAATATTAAAATACTAAACGTTTAGGTACCCACGAGTCAAGTTATCAAACTTAATAGTCCAATAAATGGCGTCCGAATCCATAGC